GCGGGTCCCTGCTGCCCGGGCCGTGTCCCCCGCGCAGGTCCCCCCGCGCCCGGCGTGGCAGCAGGGCGAGCAGCGGCCGTTCCCGCAGGTAGGGGCGGCCCCGCCGGAGCGGCGCCCGGGAGGAGGACGGGAGGGCCCCGGGCGGAGGTACCGGAACGAGCGGCAGGTCCGGTTTGCCCTGCGCTAGGTGCGAGGTCAGGAGGAGGGAAAAATAGGAGTTTGATTAAAGTTCATTTTCCGGGAAAGTACAAGAAATCGGCGTCTCCCAGCAGATGTAAACTCGGGGGTTTGCCATGTAGCGAGTTTTCAGTTAAAGTAGCGCTGTGTTAAACTTGCTCACCTTTGCCCTCTTTTGTCCATATTTGTCTCTTTGTACAGCAAAAAGTGACGGTGGAAGTGCTGGATCACTTGGAACGCCTGGCCTTGGTTGATTTCCGCGATTCAGAGGGCGTAGAGCGGCTGCAGAAAGCAATCCAGTTTGCTGATCAGCTTCATGAAGTAAACACTGATGGCGTAGAACCGATGGATTCAGTCCTGGAGGACAGGTAATGAATCACAGCAGCCTCCTTTTAACTATTCATGTATCAAACTATTTGTTTTTGTAACTTTTTTTTTCCCCTGGGAATCACCCTGGTTATGCATTTGGCCCCTTTGCTTACAGAAGAGTCTTACCGTGGTTTTGTGTGGAAGGAGGATGTCACTGGCACCCATGATCTTTACATGTAAGCATAGCAAAGGTGAACTCCGGTTCCTTTGTGCACCTTACTTGTCATGAATGATCTGCACACGCCGCTCCCCAAATATCTGTCAGTGGCATTCTTAGTTGTTTCAAAATGATCCAATACTTGTCTTACTGCTTACTTAAGCCCGAAACCCAGTTTAGAAGTAAGCCACACTTGCTACTTCATATCATAGAATAGCTTAAAGACAGGCTAGTAATCTTTGTTCTTCAGGTGTCTGTATCTCAGAGAAGATGATGTTACAGAAGGCAACTGCACGAAAGAGCTGCTGAAAAATGCCAGAGAGAAAGTAGAGGAATATTTTGTAGCCCCACCAGGTATTGTCTTGCTTGTAAAAACCTCTTAATCTTGCTTGAATTAACCTGAGGAGTATAATCCACCATAGCTGCATTTACTTTCAAAAATACTAGCTAGTAATAAGGATGTACTAAAATAAATAACTGTAGCCATCTGTATAAAACAGTCTGCAATCTATTGGTCCAAAAGCAGTACAGAAGGTAATCTTACTCTAAAGTTACTGCACATGTTGAGCGATTATTGACAGGAAGTCGGACAGGACTTACTCTCCTTGCTTGCTCAGGAAATTTAAGCTGCCTGTACATACTCAGAATAAACTGGAGAAGCACTTTTGTGCTAAGTTGTACTACGCAGAAGGTAACTTAGACCTGGTCTCACACAACTTTCTTTTTGTTTTCTATCAGGTAACATCCCTCTACCAAAGCTAGAAGAACGAGAGACTTTTCTGCAGGGCTCTTAGTGAAAGCCCAGAACCCAAACACCGTTTTAGTATTTTATTTGGAAAAAACAAGTTTTGTGCAGTCACAGCTGAAATACCCTGGCATGTATTTTGATCAAAAGAAGAGCACTTGCAAGACAATTTACAGAAGAAGGAAGGTGTAAAAAGTTTAGTAGTGCTACTGAAATATTCCATGTTTATGAAGCTGGAAGGCAGCACGACAGATGACCCTAGTGCTTTTATTTAGCAAAGTGAATTTGATGTTACTCTTTAAGATACTGAATGGCTTAAAGACTTTAAAAGAGAACATTAAAAGGTAATGATTAAAAAACCCAAACCACTGTATTTTTCCTCAACAAGTTTGTCAGGAAAACAAGAGAGGTTGGAAGGTTGTATTTGCCTATTTTGCACCTTTAGCTCGACTCTGACCCTGTCAGAAGTAACAGTCTGGTATGGAGGAGGAGTTTGTAACATTGCTGAGTATCTCTGTGATGTACGGACAGAACTCAGATTTTCATTATGGAAGAAAAGGCACTCTGAGAAGATGATTCTCTCAAATATTTTGTTTCTACTGAATTTTTCCATTTTATCTCTGTGCTCCATGTCTGCGTGGGTTACCTTCTATTTCCCACTTTGTATTTTTATTCTCACAAATTAAATACCTGGAGTTGTACATAATCTGAGAAAGTACTTTTCAAGCACAGAAATAGCTGCTCGAAAATAAAAAAATCTTTGCTGTAAATATTTCTGTCCACCAGACATGTATCTGCAGCAGCACTGGCAATATTTTCTGGATTAAACCATTCTTCCATTTCAAACAAAGCACTGCAGTTGTTTATTTAAAGCATCTTGTGTGGCTAAGCTTGTTGTAAATAAAGAATGTAATTACTTGTGAACTTGGCATTTTTGTTCTGTTGGCACAGTGAACTAAGTATCTACTGTCACCTTCATTTTTTGTTGGAACAGGTTTTAGAAATCTAAGTACCCTGGTGCTCTTCAGTGTTGCAGGCAGACATTGCTAGCAGGAAGCTAGCAACAGCTTTATTAGAAGCAGAAGTGTGATTAGCAGATACCGCTCTGGATACGGCTTCACCTTTAATCTGTTTCCAGCTCTACAAACTCGTGCAGTCATCACCTCAACAGCACCACTTTACTAGCTGTAATTTGGTTATAAGGATGCTGAACTTCTACTTTAGATCTCAGAGTTGTAGAAACCATTCCCCAGACTGTTATGATAATATCCTAGAAGTAAAATATCTTTGAGCATGCAGCTCTAGATGCTTTTCTTGCTGCTCAGTTTTGGGTTTGGCTTGGAAAGTTTCCATCTTAAGGGAAAAAATAGACTGAATTAGCGCAGGGTTATTTCTGTTTGCAAGAGGGTGCTGAAAATTAAGAGTTAACTGGCTCAGCCTGTTACCTTCAAGTAACAGTCATGTACCAGTACCTCAAATTCTGTAAGGAAATTGCTGGGACAAGCACCTCAGCCATCAGCTCCCAGATGGGATGTTTGTCATAGAAAGCTCAGTCACAGTAAAGAAGTGGTTGCAAAGAAGTAGCACAGCTCCAAGAACAAAATGAGCCTCCCTGACTCTGCCTTACTGGCTCAGAGGCCAGGAGACCATCACGGGAAGAGGTGCTGTGCTGGGCAAATTGGGGAGACTGCTTTAGCAAACAACCTACTTTGTCACTGTCTCATCCTGGCAGAGAATGTTGAGGCTTCCTCACAGAAACTCCAACAGTCAGAGGCAAGATAAACCAAAGCTCACTGAGAAAAACGAGAGACCTGCTGAAAGAAGAATACTGCAGCAAACTAGAATCAAATAGTCCAGACCATTCACTTTCAGGCCATAAAGAGTGCAGTAAAAAGCTGAAAAACAAACTTTCCTTCCTGGGTGGTGCCCTGTCCACCTACAGATTTAAGAATCTGCAATTATGTATTCCAACCCTAACTCCATGCACTGTAAGAGATCATGACATGCTGGGCCACAGTGGAATCTTCAGAAGTGCTAGAAAAGACCCCTGATGTTGTTGTAATAGGATACTACTAATCACCAGTTCTGAGTCTGCTCTTAAAGCTCTTGAGAGCCTGATGGGAGAAGGAAAGTAGGCTCCTCCATGACCGTGCAGGTACATGCTTCCCCTGAGGGCAGAAACTCACCTCATGAGATCATAACTTGATGTCATCCAGCTTACACAGTGCATGTTCTGTATCTTTCTGCAGAGAAAAGCCATTACTTCCCATTTCTGTACATCTGCATAATATACACCACCAGCTTGGTGCACGTGTCCCTTCAGGTCCTGCCAGCTGTCTGATAGAGGAAGTCCTCTCAGCATGGCCACAACAACCGATTCTCCCACGAACTGCACCTTCCACATCCCTGCAAACAACAGATAATACAAATTAGGGATTAACGATACACATGCATTGTTTCTTAACATCTCAAAAGTCTACCAAGCATATTAGAAGTATCAGAATTTGAAAAACACTGAAAAAACTACTAAAGAGTTTGAATAGTACCGGTACTAGGTTCAGCCATTAGTGGCTTGCTCTTAATACTACGTGTACAAACTGCTTTGACAAGTTCTCTCTCAGGCCATTCATTATCTGCTGTGTATTTAATGGAAAAGCTAGGCTGAGTGAAAAGGACTACAGCTGTCTTTCCTGGTATAAAAAAAATCACAGCTACTGGGTAGGATCCACTTTCACTCACTACCCTCAAAGGCTGCACGTTTGGTAAGCTTTGAACTGTTTTTTTTTCTGGAACTGATTTTTTTTTTTCATATTTCTCTGGCAGGAAGTGAGAGCAAACACTTGTCCCACTCTTATTTGTGCAGCTACTTCATTATTTGTTTAAGCTTCCATAATATACACATATACATATATGCATACGCATAAAACATGTAATTATTATGATACTCGAATTCTTTCAAGGATGTTGAATTAAAGTATCTATTTAACCCCACTAATCCAATTCTATGCAAAGCTGTAACACTGTATTAGTGCTTTAGTCTCAGGCTTTTCAAGATTCAGACCCTGCAAATGCTGAAGTTTTACAAATACATAAGCTCAGCCTAAAAGTCATTTATGATGCATATATTAATCACAACAAGGAAAGACCTCAAGTCACACCATACAACAAGCACGTTAGCAGAGAATTCCCAGTTTGAGAAATCCCCACTTGTGTTCTATCCATTTTGGCTGCCTCCTTTGACAGTCAGAGAGAATGGGGACAATGTTATTTACATAGAAAAAGGGAGAGGAATTTGAGAGTGAACTGCATGGCTGCAGGAGCTTCCAACCCAACATATCATCAAGTAACTATTTAAAAGCAACAACCAAACCAACAATTTGGACAAAGATAATATCACATTCCCAGTACAGCACAGGCTAATCTTAAAACTGCCAATTCACTGCTGGTCCCTTACCCACACACTCTAGTGAGAGAACAGACTGCCTGATGCTTGTTCCCTGCAGCCCAAACTGCATTTAAAGTGGAAAACACACATTTCTTTAATGAAGGGGTTTGTTGCAACTTCACCACTAATAAGGGAATTACAGCCCTGACTCAGACACCTGCAACCAGCAAAACAGAAACCCTCGTAAAGGCCAGATGAGCTGCCTATGGGGCAGAATAAGTTAGTGCCTCAGCCTGCCCTCGGTGTGTCTAATATGGTGGGTGCTGTGCCCCACAGGATGGCGCAAAGCCCCCCTGGGCCCCGGCTGCACCCTGAGGTAAGGACAAGACACCCTTCATAGTGCCTGTTCACCTGCCTTCACCACAGGGCCTTGACACGCAAGTGGGTCTGGATCTGGATCAGATCTTTGCAGTATTCTGCCACAATGCAGTTTATAAACCCTGGCAAGTGAATAAGTATAGTTAAGGACTCGTGTAATAAAATCACTACCTGTAAATTCCTTGTAACTGCAGTGAGGCAAATATAATGTATATTTGTGAAATAACTAATCTTTTCTCAGTGGTTAATAGATATGGCAAAAAGAAAAAAAAATATCTGTTTGGTTAAAAAAAACAACAACAAAAGGAGGCCAGATTCTAAGATGATGTATCTAGCTAGTTTCCCTGGAGACCATGGAGATAACTGGACTTAAACCTGCTAAGGTTTTTCCACTGCTATGTAGATCTGTAACATACAAAATTGGATTAGAAGCCCCAGCATATAAATTCCAGGTTTACAAAGAAAATTTCAAGGTGGAGATTTCTTCAGTTTTATGGAAAAAAGAAAACAGAAGTTGTTTTATTGCTAATAGTGATTATTTTATGTTTTGATAGTAACTAGGAACCCCAGGAAAAATCTCTATTAGATATAGGGATATGGTATACAACACAGAGCAAAAAAAGGCCTCAACTGAAAAGTGCTTGCAATCTAACCTCCATCTGCAAGAGGAATCTCATTATATGCCTTATTCATTACCCAATTTTCTTTGGCACCTCCTCTACTCCAGCTATCATCTCCTATGTGTATTTGTTCTGCCTTCCCCTGCAGCTCTGTCCTGAGGGAAACTATACTTTTATATTCTTGATTAACAAGTAAGGCTCTAATGTTTCTCTTTAAAGCCCTGTATCTCAGGCTTTAATGTATCTTGTTAACGATGTGTATCTCACCCACACTGACATTTCCTGCAGTCGTCATCACATCTGTTCCTTCAGCTAACCGTTTCTTAATAAATGCATAGAAATTTGCCTGCAGCTACCAAACACAACCACCTCCTCAGAGATTCATGGGTGTTTCTGAAGTTCCTTGTAAGCCCTGGGAAGATTGTTAAATGGTTCAGTTCTGTCAGCACAAAACTGTCTAGTACTCAAAGAACCATTGCTAGTGCTACAGATACTAAACACAGTTCTGTAAATTAATTGCTTACTGTAGCCCCGAGACTATGCAAAGCTTCTTCAAGTTGCTAGCACACAAGGTCTCTTATGCTCTTTCTTCTGCTGGATTAAACCAGATAAATTCCCTTAATTTCATGACTTTCAGAGTTGTCCCTAACACATGCTCCTGATGGCAAGACAGAAAACAAAGTTGTGAATTGCATCTCTTCTAATTGGAATGCTAAAACCTGGGAGCTAAAGCCAGAAGTTACTTCTGAGATACTCTAGAGTGACAGCAGTACTACATTATCCAGTTTTAATATTTTGGGGACAGTATATTCTTCTGACGTCACCTCAAAGTTTGCAAAAGCAAAAGGTTGCTTCCAGTTATGCTGCTTTTGCTATGAATGACACTGAGCAGGTAACTACACTGTATGAATACGAAAAATATTTGCATTTCATGTGAGGTGGATGACTGCTCCTTTTTGTTTCTACAAGGAAATGGCAGTCCCATCAACCAGTATTTGAAAACCTTTTTTAAATCATCCTGTGCTGTTTGCAATAGACATGGTTCAGAGTCCTGTTATTAACAGATCACCAGGTATGGAAGATTCAACAGCAATTTTCTAGCTGCTGACAAAAGTATAAGCAGAAAGTGCCCCGGGGAGAGTGAAACTAACCAAAGAGAGCACTAGGGATCTCCCAAAATATCTTGCTTCATTTAAACCAAAACCAAACCAAACCAAAACCCCCCCCCCCCCCAAAAAAAGGGGGGGGGCAAGAGTTGCAGAAATAGTGAGGTCTGCAAAACATGCCTTAAATGAGACTTAAGAAGTCTGATGGATTCAGTTCACAAAAGGCACGAAGTTTAGAGCTGACTTGATCATACTCAGTAAATATGGGTAATAGATTTCTATCAGAGGTCACTTAGTCTGAAAGACAAAGACAAATTGAAAACAGACACGTGAATAGAAAAGATGATCAAGTGCCATTTATAAGCTATGGAACTCCTTCCTCGAACATGGGTGGGCTTTCCTCTCAGTAAAGGGCATCTTACTGAAAGAGCTGTTCAAAGTTCAAAGAGAAACAGGGGCCTGCTGCAGAGGTTACTGGGTTAAATTCGGTGTCTCTGAGATCTGGGTTGGGGCGAGTAATAAAACGGCCTTTGGGGCCCACGTATCAACTATGGAAAGGTGTTTTACAGAAACTGACGGACACATTAAACGCATTGGAGACTGAGCGTACTTCAAGGAACAGGTTTTTTGCCCAGGATCGCCAGATGACGACAGAGAGGAGTACGCGGGAGCCGGGGCTGGGGCCGTTCCGTACGGAGCTGAAATCTACGTTAACATCCCGCACAGCATGCGCTCTGTGGGACGTGCGGGGCCTGCTCTCCGGTACCTCGCCCGCGTCCTGCGGCGGGACCGGGGGCCGCCCCAGAGGCCGAGCCCCGCCGAGCCCGTCGCTATGGGAACGGACGCGGGCGCGAGGCATCCCGGTCTGAAAGAAAACGCGACAGTAAAATCCTACGAGAGCGCCGGGCCACGGCCAATGGGCGCTCGGCGGGGGGGTGGCGGTGACCAATGGCT